GTACTATTTTTTGAATACTTGTCCAGGATACAAAAAGCAAGGTACTATCCGTGATACTACCTTGATAGTGACCAATCACGAACACTTACGAACTCTTTCAGTTCGTGATTTCTATGTATATCCGGACAAAAGAGTTCGTACAACGGCTCAAACCGTTCGTAAAAGGGTACTATTCACCCATATTATTTTTCTATACTTGAAGCACCATACAAAATCCAGCATAAAGGAAAATCGATACTTCCGTTTTACGAAACAAAATGTTTCGTGACTGCATTGAATCTGTTTCGTATTTGTTTCGTAAATCGTGTATATATCTATATCTATCTATACATACGACATTTAATCTTTGTACTGAAAATGAAGAGTTATCTACCAATGAAAACCTACGAAGTATGGAACTTTTAACCAATAAGACTAATGTCGGATAGAATTGTCGTATCCACCATATTATCTATACGTAACAGAGGTAGTATGAAATAGATGCCAGAAAAGTTTGTGAAAAGTTGGTAGTTTATAGATGACGTGCACCATACCACGCTGCGCCAGTTCCTACGTGGTTCTCTGTAACGTTAGAACTGCACGTGGAAAGCAAGGGCGCACTACAACTACACGATGTATAGTAAGACTTACTCCATTTCACATCCTAATACCGTATGCATCGTGATGAACTGGTGTTTGCACTGCTTAAGTTGGCCTGGTGCTTCAACTCGATTTGTTAGGATCTGAAATAATGTAAGGGGTATTTTATTCTACTGAAATGCAGAACTTGGGTTTAGAGTTGTTTTATCTTCAATCGGGCTTATATTATCTTAAACGTATGGCTGTTTAACGCAGTTAAACAACGGGCAAATTACATGACAAGCACAATACGTACTAATGCCTAGTAGCTGCTTCAATTTCATTTCGGCAAGCACCTTGATTTGCGGATGTAAAACAACTTGTTTATCACAATGAAAATGGCAATCAACTCGTTTACGAAAGTGCCTGTAAAACCACCTAGAACCAACCAATCATCGCTTTAGAGCATCCCCACCGGTGCGACTGTAAACGCTATTATACAGTTCTATCCGGATTATTTACAGTTTTGACAACCCCACCGGGCGACTGTAAAATACAGGAAACTGTAAAATTTTACCGCGAGACGGCAAATCGGCCAGATTTACAGTCGCGACTGTAAAATACAGTTTTGACGAATTAGCCAATAGCACGCTATCAATGGATAATTTTGTCCAATCATGTGCGTTATGGAGTCAATACTCAGTTGGTTCAGAAATGGAATCAGCCAAGGCCGTCCAAGTGGCTCTAACTTCACGACCGACGAAGACTGCCAGCTTGTCCGTTCATGGATCAACATCTCTCAAGATGCGTCCAAGGGTAGTACTCATCACGAATCACCACACCGTCCATGATTCCTTCAAACAGCGGTCTGGCCATTCGAAAATGACGGCGAAACTTGACTTCGCCGTAGATTGGATTGGGGTCGAAGTAGTAGGTAAATCCGAGCCTGCGCAGTCTCGCTATCTCGTGGTAGGTTTGGCTGGCGGTTGGCAATAGAGCCTGAAAGCCAAGAATCTCCCAAGCTTGATCCATGTCATCATCATGCATCGCGCCAGGCGTTCATTTCCGGATAAAAACATTATTCGGATGTTTTAGCAATAGGTTAAAGTCAAACTTCGTTTTTACGGTTGCTATTTTGGCACTATCCGGACCTTTTAGAAATTTCGACTCGCAGAATTTAACAAACCCTCCGGATAATGCAAGAATAACTATTCTATATCCGTAACTTCGAATTGAAATAGAAATAAAAACACCGTTGGAGATGCTCTCAACACCAGCGGTTTTACCGCTGGTGTTGACAAAAATCAAAATACATGAACTGTAAAACGGTATTTTACAGTCTGATTATACAGTCGCACCGGAGGGGATGCCCTTAGACAAAGTTACATTATTCAACGCACCCAATGGGTATTCGAGATACTTTTACTGGTAGGATTTACGTTAGTAAGCTATACCAGCCAGCCCCATGAGATTAATTGTCTGCCCGAAGCATAAATATTGTCACATAGTTTAATCAAGATAAAATTAGAGGTCAATATAATCCAATATACTCTAATCAAGATCATATATTCGGTCAAAAACGGAATAGTCAAAATATGCCTTTTAGGGACAATTCAAAGGTGTTAATTATCTGTTAACGGGATTTTCTCAGTGCAAAACTAACGGGATCAAGTCGCTTTACGCGAAATCGATTTACAACACTTGCGAATTCGCCACTATGACCAGGAGCTCGTCGCACCTTGAGCGTTGCGTGGAGGTGCGCGGCCATTCCCAGCGTAGCGGAGGTAGGCTTGCTTCTGATCTTCTTGAGGGGATCGGCACATTGCCAGGGTTAGCGATAGTTAACCTGGCGATGTGCCAAATCCTGGAGAATGAAGACTACACTTCGACGTAACTTATGTAGGTTCCAAAGTGCCGCGATCTATCAAGGCTCTCGATGGAGCACGTTGTTGTGTAGTAAGGTGATTCATGTAATTCCCGGTCAGAAAATGGCCAATCACAATCATCCATGGACAATGATTGGACAAAATTACGTACTCTTGTATCACATA